AGAGATGAAGTAAGTGGTTGGGAGATTGATACAAGAAACCACAAGATTGGGGGAGCACACAGTGCACCCTAATGGCTTCAGAAGGGCAAGGACTTGAAAGTGGAGATGGCTAAATCGTTTGGAAGAGGTGACTGGGAGCAGAGAGGTTACCCACATCACCTCCTGGCCTTCCCTGACCTGTTTCTCTCTGCGTCTCCCAGAGCAGTTCTCTCCTGCCAGGTGGTCTGAAAAAAGCCCATGACAGCTTGGGTGTCTTCAGTTTTAGGGCCAAGGAGGCCATTTTTCAACTTGCCTCCCTCCTGCAACCTGACCCGGAGCTAGTTCTGACCACACTGCACAGGTGGTGGTGATGCATCTTCTAGAACGAGCACCTCGGCCACACAGAGGTCAGCATCCCTCAAGAGAGGCCCTGGTTTCTTCACCTGTACAATGCAATCCATCATTTTGTTGTTGTTGTTGAAACACTTGTTAAAGCTTGTTGTGCCAGCCCTATCGATTTTATTTCCTTCATCCCACCCAGCCACCCTGGAGGGAGAGATTATTATACTCCTTTTTACAGATGAGGAAACATAAGCTCAGAGAGATGAGAACTTTCCCTAGGTCATATAGAGTCTATGTGAGTCCAAGAAGCTCCCTATCCAGTTAGGGAAATAGGCAAGGAGAGAACCAAAAATAGATGATGTGTGCCGAGTTCTCTGGGACTATGGAAGTTAGAAAGACTGATTCTGTTGTGGGTGGAATATGGGAGGCATGTTAACCAGCTCTACGGGATGAGTAGAGGTATATGTGGGGAGAGGGGAAGCCGGTGGAAGTGACAGTCTGAGCAAAAGCACAGTGACACGATGCTCCACGGGTGGCCCAAGATTGTTGAGTAAAGGCAGCGAGGATCAACAGTTAGGCAGTGTTCCTAACATTGTCTACAGTCCTGGGGCTCGTGGATACCCTTCATGGGGCCCACAAACCCCCTGAAGTTGCATCATACTTGAGAGTGTGTGTATTAGTCTTTCCTGTAGAGACACTTTTAATTTTCATCAGATTCTTAAACTGGGGCAGGGACTCCAAAAAGCCTTGGGGAGCAGAGGAGCTTGGAGCAGTTGGCAGGGCCTGGGAATGAAGGACCTCGTAGGCCCTGTTCGGGAATTCATACTTCACTCTGAGGTCAATGGGGAAGCCAAGGGGTTTCTAGCTGGGGAGCAACATGGGGAGGGTCTTAGGAAGACAACACAGGTTACCGTGAACTCAAATCAAAGTCTTTTATAAACTATAAAGGGGTGTACCGTTTACTGCTCTATTCCAGGAGTCTAGCACAGTGTTGAGCACATACTGGGTGCTCAGTAAATGTTGAATGAATGAATGAATGAGTGAATGAGCACAGGTGTATGTAATAATAGAGTGCATCTCTCCAGGATGACTCCACACATTTCCTGGACAATTTAACTGAAGGTGAAATCCAGGAAAACAAAGTTCCCCCTGCACTGTCCTAGGTTTTAAGAGAAGTAATCAAACTGGAAGAGACTCACTCTGGAAGGTGGGGAAGGAAAGTAACGATCATTAGTTGAATGAGTTAAGTAAGGCGTTTGGTTGGAACAGTGCCTAGCACATTGTATTTATCGAATAATTGGAAATAATTATGTTGAACCCTTACTTTGTGACCACCATTTTGCATCATCATCTCTATTTGTCCTCAAAACATATAATCTCCATCTTACAAATGATGAGAGGGACTATGAGATTAGGAGGCTTGCCCAAAGTCCAATAGCGATTCAGAGACACAGCGGAGAACCCCACTCCCTAAAGCAGCTCTATTGAAGTTGCAAATGCTGCAATTCCTGGCCTTCTTCCTTGCTTTATGCTGCGATAGCACCTGTTACCACCTAATATACTGTGCATTTTACTTATTTGTTTATTATCTGTCTTCTCTCACCAGAATATAAATTCCTGGTTTGGTTCGCTACTGCTTCTCAGAGTCCAGAATACAGAGGCCTGCCACATAAGTAGACATTTAGTGAATACTCATCGAATATTAAAAGGATGAATAAAGGGGTTATTTAAAAATCCTTGCTTTCTGGGCCAGCCAAGTGGCTCATTGGTTAAGAGTTGGCTTGGGAGCGTGAGTTCTGAGAAGCAGGGCCACCGGTTTGGATCCCACAGGGGCCAGCGACGCTGCGCCCTCTACAGCTAAGATGGTGAACAACAGCAGGACCAGGAGCTGGGCTGCCGTGAGTAGCCAGCGATGGCGTAGGCTGCAGTGGGGCTGCAGTAAACTACGGTGAGTGGCCAGCAGCCATTGTGAGTGGCCGGCAGCTGGCATGAGCTGGCGTGGGCCGCCGTGAGCGGCCGTCCAATGGCTGGCGACCGATCTGCCTCAGCTGGGAAGAGCACAATGATCACAATACCAACATGGGCCAATGAAGCGACGACCTCCACAACTAGACTGAAGAACAAAAGGACAGCAACTTGTCTGTTTCCCTTCCCCGATTCCCCAATGCTGTTCCCTCCCCCAATTCCCCAATAAAATCTTTTTTAAAAATCCTTGCTTTCTGCATCTCCAAGAGGCAGTTCTGTAAACATGTGGCCGACAGGACACCCAAACCCAGTAGAAAAGGCTGGAGTATGTCTGAGATGAACCGGGAAGGAAAGCAGTGGCTTAACTAAATGCTTTCAACAAACCAGAAGGAAGACTGTGTCCACAGAAGAGGGACTGGCTGCATGGAGCCTGGTGGGAGAGCGGCCAGGGAGCTGGGGTTTGTGCCGTCTCCAGCCCTGACACCATTGCCATGGTAGGTGTGGATGCCACAGGCTGGCAGCAGTCCTCTCAGGATATGGCTTCCCACATAAAGTGGCCCTGGGGGAAAACGTGTTGACCAGGCCCCTATGGCAATTACAAGCTAGATGTAAATGCATAAAAAGGCACTTAATCAGGAACTCTCTTGTGAATTGAGTTAGAGTGAGTCAGTTGCTCAAGCCTGGCAGCTCTGGCTGCTGAACAAATGGAGGTTCTAAACCAGCCAGGCTGCGCTATGCACCTATTTCCCTGATATTCCTCTGTGCCAAGGCTTCTCAAAGTTCAGCCCCCAGACTAGCAGCATCAGCATCGCCTGAGAACTTGTCAGAACACACATTCTTCAGCCTCATGCTCCGTCTACCGAATGGGAAACGGAGTGGGTGGGGTCCGTCCCTGTACTAAGGAGCCTTTGATTTTTGAGCCAGGAGATTTTGATCCACTGTCAAGTTTGAGAACCACTGTTATACAGTTTCTCTTTCAGGGCAGTTATTACTCTGCCTCACGGGGGTGGGTGGGGTTAAGGGAACAGTCAGGGTTGGAGGGTTTCATAGATACAGCACACGGAGTCCTGTTACAAATTAAGTGAGGATTGGATCAGTGGTTCTCAGTGGAAAGGGCCAGGAATTGGAGAGGAATTGGGGGGGTGGGGGGAACGCCCCTTGTGTTTCAGAAAATCTCCAGAGGATGGGTTAGTTTGTGAAAGCACATTTCAGTTATCATGGTTTTGTTTTTCAGATCTAATATTTATTTCAAAATTTCAAATGACATTAAAAGGAGGTGTAAAATAAACCAGTCAGTACTGCCAACCAGTACTGACTATATGCATAGTTTAGGCGGGAGTATAATGCTGGGACCCCACCTCCTGTCTAATTCTCATTCCCTCCACCCCCCACCCCACCAAAAAAAAAAAATGAAGAGAAAGAGAACTTATTAAGCTGGCCTGAAAGATAGCAGAAACAGAAACTCGGCATAGGACCTGCCTGAAGAACTAGCGAAATGGGTTGCACAACTTTATCGAGCTCCTACTGTGTGCCATACTCTGTATTTGGCTCTGTGAAGAGGATACAAAGATAATTTAGCTAGCCACTTGGGCAGCCAGGGAGCTTACAAGAGAAAATTCAGAGAGATATTTCCTCTGGCTGGCAGACGTTGGAAGCATGGATATGTGGGACCTTTGATCAGTGTCTTGGCTTTTCGGTTTAGCCAGATAACAGAGCACATGTAAACTGGTAGGAGGTGGGAGAGGGTGTGGGAGTGGTGATTTGATGGGGCTTGAATGCTGAGTTAGGAGGCATAGAAAGGCTCAAACAACTGCTAGTCTAGAAGCCGTGCTGAGCCCACGCCCACTGCTGGTGTCTGGAGCTGTTTAGGAGATCTGAGGTTGGATAGTAACAATTGCTAACATTTATCCACTGACTACACGTGACAGCCATCAATCTAAGTGCAGTAAATACATGAACTCATTCTTCATATGAATCCTATGAGATAGATATTATTATTACCCCCATTTTTACTGATGGGGAAACTCAGACACTCAGAGGTGACCTAACTTTGTCCAGTCACACAGCTAGGGAGTGGTAGAGGCTGAATTGGAACGCAGGCTGTTATCTCGGAAGCGCTCCCAAGGGCACGACAAATCAATGTGCCGCCTCAAGCCTCTGGGCTGTCCTGCTGAGTTGGGGTGGCAGAGGGATGGGACACTTATTTTGGTGGGTAAAAAGGGTCCAGAAGAAAGCCCTTCAGTCTCTCTCCATGCCTGAGCATTTCCTTTGGCATAGACAATTGGGGGCCCAGTGCTTTGAGAACCCGCTACAGGACAAGCACTTTAGGCCCCTTCCCACTAGATGGCGGCCCCTAAACCCACACAGAAATTCTGTAACCTCCACTGTCCCCATCTTCCATGGTTTGGCTGCATCTGAGGAATTGCAGGATGCAAAGCCTCCTCTGGTCCAAGGGGCCGCTAGCCCCTGACCCGCCCCATCCGGGGGTCGCGGGAAGCCCCCAGGATGGAGGCGAGCGTGGGGGACAGGGGTGGGCGGGGAGACGAGGCTCCCCAGGCTTGGGGCGTCCGGGGGAGGAGTCGGCGAGAAGCAGCCACTCCCGGGACACAGAGGCGGGCGCTTCCACCCCGCAAACACCCACCGCGGAGCGGAAGGCCGGAACCGCTGTGCGCCAGGCGCAGGGCGCGGGCGGGGGCTCCGAAGGCGCGGGCCCGGAGGCAGGTGCGCGGCGAGGACTACAAGTCCCAGCATGCCCAGCTGCCCTGACCCGGCCCCTGCTGCCACTTAAAGGCTCCGGGAGCCGCAGCCGTCGGGTCGCCGCGGCTTTCGCTTTGCTGCCGCGGTAGGGCGGGCGGGAGCAGCGAGCTCGGTCGCCGGCTTTCCTCGGTCGCCGGCTTTCCTCGCGTCCGAGCTCCGGCACCGCCGAGGGGCGCTCCTCGTGCAGCCCTCCCGGCTCGGGGATTCCCTTCCGAGGCGCCCGCGCCCCCGGGCTCCCCGCCTCGGCCACCCCGCGGCCCCGATGCCGAGGCATGGATAGAGCGGCAAGGCGCGCGGCGGCGATGGGGGAGAAGAAGGAGGGCGGCGGCGGGGGGGCCGCGGCGGCCGCGGAGGGGGGCGCCGGGGCCGCGGCCAACCGGGCGCTGCAGCAGTGCGGGCAGCTCCAGAAGCTCATCGATATCTCCATCGGCAGCCTGCGCGGGCTGCGCACCAAGTGTGCGGTGTCCAACGACCTCACCCAGCAGGAGATCCGGACCCTGGAGGTAAGGCGGCCGCGACGCCAGAGGGTAGGGGACCCGGGCTGGGCTGAAGGAGACCCGGGTCTGCAGCCTGGGAAGCGGCCCCCAACACCTCCCTGCCTGCTCCTGTTCACTCCTTTCCCAGTTGCATCCTTGAGCCCGGGTCGCCCCCTTTGCGGCTTCCTCTCCCTCCTCCACTCGCTGATGCGGCAGCCCGAGGACCCCTCAGTGCGGGTTTTGGGTGCGGGGAGGGGGGGGGCGCGGAGTGGGAACTAGGATGGAGACTCCGGGAGACGGTGGGCGGGGTGGGCTGCGCGCGGACATCCCCTGCCTCCCCACCTCCGCCCCCACCCCATTTCCAGCTTGCCGGGCCGCAGCACTCATTCTCTCACTGAGTCACACGCTGGACTTTTCCCTGTGTGACTTAGCGGAGCAGCCGTGGGCCGGGGTGACGGAGCGGGGCGGGGGGAGGTCCCCCTGAAGTGTAAGCA